CTTCTGTTTGATCTGTCGGACAGTGCGGTTCACATTCAGCCAGTGGCAGACAACGTCAATCGATATCCCTGACATCTCTGCAGCGGTCCAAGCGAGGACATCGCGGTGGTCCCGAAGCATTTGAATCAACAACTCATTGTACCCTACATCAAAATTATCACTTAGCAAGAAAGATTTACCGGGCTCAACTTCGGCGATGGGAACCTCCAGGATTGTCTCGCTGGTCTCGTGGTCCCCTTCCCTCTGATTTTGCAGGTCAAGTGGCACCTGCTCCACACTTCCTACCCCTAAGAAGTTGCAGACCCACGACTGCTCAAACTCTCCTCTGATAGTGATCACCTCTCCATATCACAGGAACTTGACCGCAAAGTGTAGGTGGACACCACGACCTCGAAGCGATTCAGCAACGGGTGGTCGAAGATGACGTTGTAGGTTGGAGGCGAGTCTACTATCAGAAAGTCTTCTGTCTCCGTAAATTTCTACTCACATGATCCTCAGGTTACATCCAATAGTATTAAGCCCACTGCCTCCTTTTTTTCACCTGAAAAGTCATATAGTGGGTCAGCCGACGCTACCAACCAGTTATCCCGAAGGTTAAGCTTATCAAGCACTGACTTGAACAATATGTTCACAGAATTACTAGATAGATCGTCATCCCTGAATGTGATGGGAGGGTAGCTTCCACTCCTCTGCATGGCCGCAAGATTGCACTGTTCTCCGGTCTTGGACCTCTTGTGGGAGTTCTACCGAGAGAAATTTGTTCCTCCGAGAATGGTTGGGACTATAGTGGTGATGTGGTAGAAATTCATCCAAAAGGGCCCAAAGGGGCTTTTATTGTTGGAGCTTTTCCATACCTTCGACTCGGGTGTCCCTGGGCCACAAAATCTTTCAGCTTCTTTGTCTTGATCAACTCCTCAACGAGACTCCAAAGGTTCATGCATTCCTCCATGTCATGGCTGTGATCCCGATGGTACTTACAATACTTCCTCATATCCCAAAGAAAAGCTCCGACCCTATTAGTGTGGCCTCCTTGAAGTATTCTTTATCTAAGATGGCATCTACAATCTCCACCATTGATACCCTCAACAATGTAAGCTGTAGGTTTTTGAATTCACTGTGCGGTTGCTCATAACACTATGACGGCCTCTCATAATACCGAGCCGACCTCAGGTCGCGATTCCTTGCCTTATCTTCTTGTTGGTTGTACCGACCAGATCCTTTGTTGTCGCAAGAGGATTAGCCTTCATACCGACGCCTGACAGGTAGTCGGTGGTTTTCCCTTGGCTTCGACCCACTAGTAGGGGGAGCTATTTTCAAAGCTTGGTGCTCTGCTGGCTCTGATTTAGGAGTGCTCTCCTCAGCGAGCATGTACTTGTTGTCTATCTCCAACTACTCAACCAAGTCCTTATGTCCTTGTAAGCTGAGGTCGAAATAGAATCTTTCTGACCTCAAGCCTTGTTCTAGGGCGGCCTGTGCCATGTCAGCTCAAAGGTCCTTTACCTCCATCATTTCCCTCTTAAAACAAATGATATAAGAGCATCGTCTCTCATTTGGCCCCTGCTTCATCTACCACAGGGCTCATGCGTCCTTCTTTGGTGCCCGGGCATTCACGAAATGTGCTAAGAAAAGCCTTCAGATGTCCAAAAGCTACTCATGCTTCCGGTCTGAAGCGAGTCAAACCACTTCAAGGTTGATGACCTTAGAGTGATAAAGATCAGTTGGCACTTGAACGTACCTAAAACCTTCAGTATACACATTATGAATTCGAACAATTCGATGTGGTCCCTTGGGATCTAATCGGCTCTGATGGGCATTCAGCTCTGGAAGCATAAACATCTCTAGGGGTTCAGCTCCAGAGACATGAAAGGAGAAAGTATTCTTCGACTAACATGGTGTTTAGGTGTGCCCAAGCCATTACTTTTCCACTTGCGTGGATCCTACGTTGTTTTGGTATTGTTAAATCATCGGCCCTCTCGGGGCCATTGTTTAATCTTCTATCGCTGTGAACTGATGCAACCACCTACGAGAGGCTTTGCTCCTGAGGGACCTGACCTCCTGCTAGGGCTGCGACGACCCTTAAGACCTCCATGATCTGACCTAACACCTGGTCCATGATCTGAGTCCACATCTTCTGCATCCCTCGCTGCATGTGTTCCTCTATAACTTCTCAAGCGGGCTATGCGTTAGTTATTTCTCTCGTCACCCTCTTCTCTTTATGATCGTTGTGCTCTTCTTGTCAACGAAGTAACTCAACACTCACCACACCTTTTAGGATGTTAAATCCAAAATTGTCCGGGAAACACACCTAAGGAATAGAGCGCTAGAGAGAGAGAGAGAGAGAGAGAGAGAGGAGAGCATATCACACTATAGAAAAACAAATTTGTGTAACAATTATTCATGAAATGGACACACATTTATAGGAATAGGGGGGGTGTATAATTACATATTGTACCCATAATATACGTAGATACAGTGTGGGCATTTTAATCAATATATGAATATTGAGTAAGGGGTCTGAAAGGCTCCTGACTGGAAGGGGCAGGGACCTTGGCAAACTTGAGGCTTGGCAGAGCTGGATCCCTAAGAAGATGTCTGACCATATAAAGCCAAGTGCCTATGACAGCCTCCAGCCTGGCTTCATTTTGTTCGGGCGACCATTCACTAAGGGTCCAATGTAAACTGTTGATTCAGCTATTTGGTTGAGTTTATCCCTAAACAGGTGGGGCGAAAAGCTCCGATCACCTATTTTAGAGCCGGGCAATTTGTTTTGCTCATCCGGCCGGACAAGAAAAAAATTATCAGATTCATCCACGTGGATCTTGTGCCGGTAGATTGATTTCCAAGAATGTGATCTAATTCATCCGCCTGGGAAATACTTTCTTCTCTATCTAAGGGAGCCAGTTGGCTAGACATGGTGCATCAGATTGTCCTTGGCGGGCCTTCGCTATGCCACGCCCTCATCCTCCGCCAACCTTGGGATATCCTCGAGATTTATGCTAACACGTGTTTTATATACACTTGGAGTTAATAGATAAAGAAATATAAGTGCACATTCTAGTTCCTCTTAATGTAAGCATCACTTTGAACATCAATGATATTACCACTACAATTGGTCCTATGAAAGTACTCTTTAGTACATATAAAAAGACCTTCCTAGCCAATATATTACATATGATGCAAACATTTTTAATCTTAAGATATTAATGGAGCTTTGATCACCAATTAGACAGAAAAAAATCAAATCAATCATGGGATGATTAAATCTTAAAATATTAAGTTTAATGATAAGATTCTCTCCTTAAACTTGCTCTTATGCGTGGTTGAATTCTAGATGACTCTATAACTGTTAACAATTTTAATATGAGAAAGATTAAGATATAGGTGCATATCTTTTAAAGTATAACAATATGAAATGTCTAAAAACAGGCAATGATAAAAATCTAATGATAATATTAGCAATCAAATCATAAAAATAAGTATAGCTATATAGTAAATAAATCCAAAAATAAGAAGCATTAATACAATCATATGCTTAAGAAATGAAAATGAATATCATTGTGGAATACATTCATGATGCACTTTGTACTTTTGTAGATAGATCATTAGAGACATTAAAATTAAAAGCCAAATACATTCTTTCATTATTATTTAATAATGATCAATCTTGATGTCATAAAAAATCTTCACAATAAGGCACAAATATCAATATCATAATTTCTAAATTCAAATTCAAGATCACTCTTCCAATGCTTTTAGCAACTTAATATAGAAATTGAACATCTTCGTAATACAAACCCAATGACATTAAAATTGATTTGATCTGAGCCCAAATGAGCTTGGATCAAACATTTGAAGTATGACTTAATGCTTTGAGGGATTAATTGAAATGTCAAACGAACTCAAATTTTAGCATGCTTATACTCAACTTAATAATCTCAATGAGTCGAATCTAACGAGACTATGCACACTTAATTTTGATGTCATTAAGATATTTAAATAGTAAATAATTTATCTATCAAATGAATCCCACAGAACGTTTGATAGAGTGTCAAGAAATTTTAGCTAAATTTATCAATATGTTTTATCCAAAGCTTTATGAATAAAATCATATTTTTAACATGAAGAGGGAGAGAGAAATGTATGAGCTAAATCCAAACCCTTGAACAGAACAACAAGCTAACAAACAACAAAGATCATTGCCGATCACCATTAGCGGTTATTGTAGCCAGATTATTATTCTTACATGGTTGTTGTCTAATCCTTATAGCTTAATTAAGACTTTGTAACCTCATCTTCTCTACATGAAGAAAAGATAAAAACTTTATATCTTAAAATATATAATGGAAGATTTTGATTGGGCAAGACACCATAATTTTCCTTTTTTCAAGTTTTTCACGTAAAATCTTTGGTGTCTCTTCATCCAATACTTCATTTATTCGTCTGTGTTGGATCTTCATACACCGTAGTTACTTTTCAAGCGCGTAACAAATCTAAATGACAATTACAATATAAAAAATAATGGCAAAGTGTTAGTTGTTGATGACTAACCTTTAAATATTACATCAACAACAAAGCAAATGTGTATAATCACATAAATATAAGGCATAATTCAAAATGCAATTGAATGGAACAAAAGATATGAATAGACAATCTAATCTCTCCTTTTTTTTTAAGAAGAATGTGATTAAAAATTAATAAAATTTTAACAATGGCCAAGAAAAGAAATCTGAAAAAAAATTCACTAAAACTCTAATTTGTTGTTGATATAATAAAAAATGAATATTGTCCTGAGTGAAAAAGTAAATAACATAAAATGAATATTGGCTGATAAAATTATTACATAAAATGATTATTTTCCATGCCTTCTGATGTAAAAATACATAAAAAATCCTTACATATTTATCCTCCTGCAAAAAATTATATAGGAATAAGCATATAAATCATCAACAACATTAATAAAAATCCTATATTGCCACAAAAATCATCATAATTTTTTTTTTCAAACAAGCACAAGATTAGATAAATCCATAATTTATTTCCCAAAGCAAAATTCAATGATAGAAGAACAAAAGCCAAGTGGGGTGGGCGACATGAATCATTTTTCTCCAATATGTCCTATTGAGCATCCTATTTTCATTTAATTCTAATAAATTAAGATCATTCTTTATACAACAAGCTTGAATCTTTTCAAGTCTACCTCTAACTTTCTTAACTAAAATTTAAAGCATTAACTCTTCTAAAATAATCATCAGATGGTCTACGTTTAATGAGACGAAATCATCTAAGGTGACTCTCTCTTATCTTATCAGCCACTGGAGCTACTCCAACCCTTTTCACGGATATATCTGTTTCACATATTGTCTCCAAATGTAAAGTCACTCATCCGCCAGAACATTCTCATCTCAGCATTCTCTTCTACAGACCAATATTCTGCACCATAAAATATTGTAAGTCTAGCAAATATAAAGGGTACTTTTTCAAAATTAATTAGTACATCTCTAAAAAATAAGCTCCAAATAATTAATTACTCAGATATAAACAGACAACCAAAAAATCAGATATTTTGTCTATCTACTGTTATTCAGATCAGCTTGACATGGATATTTTACCCTATAAAAGCCATCATGATGTAATCAGCTTCTCATGTAGTAGAAAGCCCAATCACTCCCAATAATAACCAACCAACACATGAAGATTTTTAGCATACAGAAACAAATAAGAACTGCAGATTATTTTTTATTTTCTATCATTATTATTTTAATGTGAGCTCTCAAGCCCGACTCTTCTGAGTTCTTTACTTTATTTCTGGCTACATCAAAGTGTCAAAATAGCCCCAACTCTTTACATGACAGTTTTAATTTCCAAGTTTATAAAAATGTCAAAATAGTCTTCAAACTCTTTAAATAGGGGTTGAAATAATCCCGTGAAAGATTATTAGAGCTCAATTTTAAAATAATAAGGGACTATTTAAGCACCTTTATAAATTTCAGGATTAAAATAATTCCCATATAAACAGTCAAGGCAATTTCAACACTTTATTCAAACCAATATGTCGCACAAATATTCGACATAAAATTTAAAAACTATTCTAACTACTCTAACTGATCTATATAAGATCACTTCATTGATTATAATGCAAATTTTAAGTATTTGAAGGATCTAAAATGGAGACCTATATATATGACAAATATAGAAGAGCTTGAAGAAGCCTATCTACAAGCACTGAACATGCGGCCAAAGAAGAAAAAAATTAAATTTACATAGTAGCACACCTTTCTTATGTATTTACACATTTCACACCTAAAATTTCATATTTACATACGGTTACGAGAGCGCCTAGGTAAATTTATCTTTTGTATGCTTGAAGGCAATTTAGTCTTTCATTAATTTTATTGTTGGGTATAAATAGGTTTATTATGTCCAGGGATAGGTTATATGCAGGAGATTGAGTTATGAGTCTTATGTTTAGGACTTTGGAGAGATTTCCTAACTCTCGAATTGTAGGAATTGAGAGAGATAGCCTACCTCTCGAAGTGTAGGTGTTTATCTTTTGTATTTTTGTGAGTTATTTGGATTATTGAAGAAAATATTCGTATTTGTCATAAATTTATGTGGAAAGGCGTGTCGATTTCTGCCTCAGACCATAACACATACACAACACATTGGTGCTATAAAGCTATGCATGAAAAGGCGCATTTCACTTTTAAGAAGTGGTGATAGTGCTATTTTTAATATGATACTAAAGATTTGAGTGCTTTGTTGTAAACATGACAGTTTAGGTGTGAGATATACTGATACATAAGAATTGTGTACCATGCATGTAAATACCACAAGAGAAAGATAAATAAATAAATAAATAGAATTTAGTGGAGAGAAACAGTATAATTGTATCTATATTAAACAAGTTAGGCGAGCAAGTTAAGAAGTCAGGTGTAATTTAAGCTTCGCTCATTAATTCATCAAGCTCAGCTCAGCAGTCAGTCAATTTCACTCAGTTACACCCCAATTTGAATCCTAAAATATAAGAATTTTCATTAAAAAAACAAATTCTCTCAACTAACACAACATTTATCTACCACCCGAAATATTGATATTTACAAATTAAACACCCATGCAATTTTTTTGAACTCCCGAACCAGTGTATTTGATAAAATGAAACATATGAGTTGGGGTTTTACCATGAATTTTGATATTCGAGTAACAATTTGAAAAATGGATGAAAGAGGATGGTTGATTTGTAAATACCAAGTTTCGGGGGGCTTGTATGTAATTGCCCCTTCTTCAACATACAGGCCCATATACATGCACTTAGAGCAAGTCAAACTAGACAAGCAAATTTTTTTTTTTTTACAAGATTCAATAACAGCAAAATGTGGCGAACAAGTAGACGAACTTTTATGAAATCAACGTCTGCTGACTATATATGTTTATAAGAGCGACAAATAGGAACATTTATGACAATTATACAAAGAATGCATTTAGAAGCTTGAAATTCCTCACTCAGGATATAATAAGCAAACAAAATGTATTCCGGAATGAGCAGAGAAGTACCCAAAGAATGCATTTAGAAGCTGCAACTTTTACAAGAAATGCTAAAAATAGATAAAACAAAGAGCCTGAAGTTCAAGAAATGATTAAAACCAGCAGCAGTCATTTACAAAATGCTCCCCCAAACAAGCCATTTCAATACATGTCAATAAACTAAATCTAAAATTTGCCCTTTTTTTTTTAATAAACTTCAAAAAATGAATGTCATAAAATATGAGGGCAACATTAAAACTACCTAGAAGTTCATCCATCCTACTATTACTCTCGTCCAAATATAAATTTGCGACATTTGATATGAACCAGTGCATTGGTGTTGGTGTATAAAAGTTGTCTGTTATTGCGATGTTGCTATAAGTGTTTAAGTTGATGTGATAAAAATTCACTTTAGATCTTTTCATAATGCTCCATACTATACACCTATTCCTATAAAAAACAACGTGAGAACTCAAAAAGAACAAAAAAGAAAAACAAATTAGTTTATCAAAGGCACTGATGAAAATTTATACCTGTTCGTAAGCAGTAATGATGAAGAAAAGCCAGTTACTGAAGCCTTCAGGGAAGAACTACTCCATGGAGCTAAGAACAACTGAAAACCTGCAATTTATTCTCACTGATGGCACCAAGTAAGCCCAACTTTACTGAACTCGAATATTTAATGTCAAGTATTGGAGATTGATGCGGCCGATGACAAGAATGAAGCTGAAAGGATGGCAAGTTCCATAGGTACACACCACGAGTTGACTCATCTCCGCAAGCAAACATCGAGTTTTTTCCTTCGGCGAATATAACTACGGATTTCGACATCCTCACTTGGCTTACGTAACAATTAACCTCATTACCCTTCTGAAAAGATGTGCTGTCGATTCTCTTGAGGTGTACATGAGAGCCCAACTTTGCTGATAAATAAAGAGATTCTGAGGGCGATAATGGAGTTTGTGAAGGTATAGGATCACCGGAGAGCTCTACTTTAGGACGAAAAGAGGCCACGATATCACTGCTAGAACTGTCACAAGCAAGCGAAATACATATGCCTTGAGACTCTAATTCAGGTATCAAGAATGGCCTGCATTTTGGAAGAAAATAATAGGATTGGAAATATGATTTTTCTAATTTACGAGTAAAATAGGGTTCTTCTGATTGAGAATGTAAATTGGATGTTTATGATTCAAGGATAAAATCATGAAGGGAATGATCAAAATGACCAAGCATTCCCTATGATTTGAGCATATAAGGTTGTGAAGGATCAAAGAAATTGTATTCGGTGCTGATTTAATGCGTAGTTTTTTTTCAAAAACTTATCAATGGTGTTAATTTCTAGATCTACTGTTGAAATTGATAATGAATGCTGAAAAGAGTTCGCAGGCCTTATGTTTTTATTAACTTCAGTCTCAGATGAATTAACGCAAATAGAAACTTTAGTAGACCAAAATAAAAGAGGGAGAGAGACTCATTTATGGATCCAATTCAAAATATAGAAAAAGTAAGGTAAGACAACCTTTGTCCAGAACCACCAACATCCCACAAGCACGGACCAACTGAAGAAGCGGTGAGAACCTTTCTGGAACAGTGATTTTGCTTAAGTGAGCAGATAGAATGAATGGGGAATCTAGACAAACCCTCAATGGATTCCAAGCAACCTGCAGTTTGGCGTATATCGAACATCAGGAGCATTCCATTCTGTTCATAATAAAGAGTAACGGAAGATGAAAATTAAGAGATTATAATACTTTCAAACATACAAAATTAATGAAGAAATGCTTCAATAAAACAGAAACCTGCAATCCGGCATAAATATGGCAAGGTTCATTCACATCTACTGAACATGACCAAGCAGGCGCCTGTAAAAAAATAAAATAAAATCAAACTTCAATGCAACGCATAATTTTTTTATAAATTTATCCTACAGGAATGATATGCTGAGTTTTTTTATAGAGTTCTTTTTAGATTACATAAAAGTTAAGAGTGAACATCTATGGTTTTCAAGCAAAACATGTTTAGTGGGGGCTAGGCGCATCCTATGTAGTTACAGAATCCTTATTTAGAGGAGAAAATGTGTCATGAGTATTTGACGAAACCTCAAACACATAGGAGAATTTTGAGTGGTTTACCTCATCAGCGAAGGACATGAGGCTAGATTAGTATAAATACCTCATCGCCATCATTATTGGCCTTATCCCAACTAATTGGGGTTGACATTATAAATCCTCATTTTTTGTTCTTGAAAGGTGCTGTTTTCAAAGTTATTAAACCTATTGTTTGCAAATAATTTTGAATAACTTCTATCCACATCACCTTAAATCGGCTTCTTTTCATTCTTCAGCCTTTGACATTAATTTTCTCAACTCAGCTAGTGTCATTTTCTATCCTTTCAAATTACATAAGTTTATCTATAATCATCTTATCTTCAATAGATGTCTCAAATCTACAACAACAATAATAACAAGCCTTTATCCCACTAAGTAGGGAAGGCTACATGAATCTTTTTTCTCCATCATGTCCCATTGAGTGTCATATTTTCATTTGTATCTAAAAAACTAAGATCATATTTATACAACATGCTTATGTTTTTTCGGTCTACCTCTACCTTTCATAACATAAGTTATATCTAAAATATCTACTCTCCTAACAATCATCAGATGATCAACTTTTAATGAGATCAAACCATCTAAGGCTACTCTCTCTAAAATTATCCGTCACTAGAGCTGCTCCAACCCTTTCATGGAATATTCACTTAGTATTTTGTTTGTAAGTGTAAAGTCACTCAATAACCTAAGCATTCTCATCCCAAAAACACTTAATTTATGACCTTTTTCACGGGCCAACATTTTGCACCCTAAAGCATTATAGTCCTCACCACCATCTTATAAAACTTTTCTTCTATCACACAATAGCCCGATGCATTCTACCACTTCATCCATCCAACTTGAATTCTATTAATAGCATCCCCATCTATTATCAATTCTTTTAATGACATGATTACCAATTGTTACAACCGGTTACTAGATCTACTACTACTAAAATTTCATTCCATGTATCCAGCTGACCTTCATTAATCAAGTTTTTCCTAAAATCTCTCTAGTCTCATCCAAAAGAAGGATATCTAATTGAAATAGAAAAATACTTGGTCCATCCTCCTTGTGTTCGAACACAAGTAATAGCTCTAGTATGCATATCTTTAATGACTTCAATATACGTAATATCAACATCATTCCTTTCTAGAATCTTTGAAACTATTTCTCTTGGAACTTTATCGTGAGCTTTTTCTAAATCAACAAAAGTCATAAGTAGATCCTCCTTATTGTCTCTAAACTTCTCCATCAAACCTCTGAATAAATGCATAGCTTCTATAATAGACTTTCTTGGCATGAATCCAAACTAATTTTGAGAAATTTTTGTATCACCTCGTAACATATGTTTAATTATTAACTCCTATAACTTTAATGTACGACACATTAACTTAATTACTCTATAATTTACACACTCTTGTGCATCCCCTTTATTCTTAAAAGTAAAAACCAATAGACACTTTATTCAATCATTAGGCATTTTGTACTTTTTAAAATAATATTAAAAAGTTTATAAAGCAAAAATTACTAGACCTTGTAAATATTTTCACATTTATATTGGAATACCATGAGATCATATTATTTATTCACACTTCATTTTCTTTAATGCCTCAACTTCTGTTTCACTAACACGACAACAAAAATAATTTTTTTGTTATTATTTACGATATTAAGATCAATAAAATCAATTATATTTTCACAATCTTCATTGAAAAGTTTATCAAAATAACTCATCCACCTATATTGAATATCATCTATGAAAAGTACTTTTTTTATTTCCATTCTTAATACATTTTCTTAGAACTAAATCTTTACTTATCTTTTTGTTTGGCAAGTTTATATATATATATATATATCAGTAATACCCCAACAAAAAGATACAGATAGACTCAATAAAATGTAAAACAAATTTAAAACATACAGAAAACAAGTAGCTAGGGACGAACCAATTTAGTCCTGTCTCTTCCTCTAGTTTTAGGAGTCAAACCAAATAACAAACTTTGAAGAGTCGTGTCATTGTCAGAAGTCACTAAAGTATCATCCATTAAATTTTTAAGTTGGAGTGAGACCCCAGCTTTCTTTCGTCAATTACAGATGCATGAAGTGTAAACCTATCATTCTTCATCTGAAAACTGGCTCATGTGATCATCGATCTGATTTGATGTTAGCAAGGAAAGACAGTCGTTGCTAGTCGTTGCTACCGCGATAGGTTCCATTGTATGTGAAGTGTGAATTGTTACCTCTGCAACTGATGTTTCTTGAATAGGAGCTGCAGGACTATCATGATTTTCAGTTCAAACATTATCCGTTGTAGTATTGTCAGGAGAAGAAATCACAGGGGCAGACACCAACTCCTGTCTTATGGTGATTTCCTCCTCAGGTTGGATGTCATCAAGTTTGTTGGGAGCGCGTTCAGGCACATGGAGTACACTAATAGTGTGCTTATGCTTTCACTACTGGTTCTCAACTGTGGGAGCAATCTGAAACACTTCTCCTGCAGGTGTCCAAACATTTTGCAGTGCTTGCAATAATATGACTTTTGTTCCATAAAAATTTTTTGCCAATAACCATTGTGAGCAGATCCAAGCCAGACTGCTTCTACATTTGGTAGTGTAATATCTCGTTCAATCAAAATCATTGCAATTGAGGGTCTTGAGAAATGAACTGTAGGTAAGTCTAACTGCAAATATTTTCTAAGGATAGTCCCAATTGCATATAAGATACGTAGATAAAAGAAATGAAGCTTGAGTTCAAGTAATGAAAACCAGATAAGTGCAATTGGGGGTTCTTGACTGGGATCAAAATTGAGGGTTCATTTGAGCAATTTCATATGTTTGCCCTTAATTGTGATGAATTTCTTTGAGAAAATCGTAATGTAATCATCTTCTGTGCTCAGCTGTATCATAATGTCTTCCGTCGAAATGACCCACCTGTCAATCCTCAACCAGTTTAAAATCTTCAAAAATCTTCCTGATGATCTCCATCTTAGGCCAACCTAATTGGAACTTTTCAACTAGTGTAAATTTGTATTTTCCAGCACGAGTTGAAATTTCAGCGTCAGAAAAGAAAATTGCTGGTTTGTCCGCCTTTTTCTCAATTTTTTTGATGAAATTGCAATCGTCATTTCTTGCAACATAATCATGATAAATCTGCGAGAATACCGCACTATCTGCGAGGTGAAAATGGGAGTTGCGTCTGTGAACCATTGTAGCATGGTTTGGCGAGGTTATCACCGGCGAGGGCGGCGGTGTAGGAAAGCTCTGAGGTCATTACCGCAACAAGTGCCAAACTGGAGCACAGTGAGAAGCTGCACTAGTGTCGAATGACTTTGTCGCAGACGGCAGAGGCAGAGCCGAGCAAGCTTGGGCGACTCTGTCGCAGAGGAGACATAACAAAAGTAAGAAGGTGTCGAGCAGTCGAGCGGCTCTGTAGCAGACTAGACACAGCAAGGTGTCGAGCGGCTCTGTCGCAGGCGAGACGCAGGCAAAAGCTGTCGAGTGGCCCTGTTGCAGACGAGACACAGACACAAAGACGACAACAACACTACCGCCAGACGAGGTGCGAAAGCAAACGCGAGAAGAGCAAGACGAAGCGATGTGAGTAAATCCCGAAGCCGAAAGACGCTAGGGTTTGCCATAGGGCGGAACCCTAGAGGTAGTCATTTATCTGCATCCTCCAGTAAGCAAAATCTATGTCATTGAACTTCTCGATCCGCGATGTCATCACTTTGTCTCCGCTCATTGTTCTTCCTTAGATTCGAACCCAAGACTCTGATACCAGTTGTTATGAAAAACAACGACAATAAAACGAAAAATCTGAAACGAGAAATTAACATCAGAAAAGAACACAGATTTACGTGGTTCGACAAATTGCAGACGTCCACGAAGTTATAAAGAATTTTATTACTTAGAGGAATTACTCTGTCGACCGTTTCGATGTTTACAAGAAATCTATATTTCTCTCTCTCTCTACCTCCTCTCTCTCCTTCTTTCTCTTCTTCTCTCTCTCTACCCCTAGGTGAAAGAAGAAAGACCAAAGAACTTAATCGCTACAGAAAGGAGGTGATTTTTGGGATAATTCTAGCAGACCTTCTTCCTATTTATAATAAGCAAAAAAAGGGCTTATTTTGAAAACCAGAGAGGCGGGAAGCTTCCCGCAGGTCCGCATGCGACGCGGAGCAGGACGCGGTTCGCGTGAGGCTTGACGCGGAGAGGGGTGCAGCTTGATGCGCGACACAGAGAACAGGGTGGGACACGATTCCGCGTGAGGCGCGACGGGCCGAGACAGAGAAGTCGGAACAGGCTCCATATCCAACATGTGTGTGTGTGAGTGTATATATATATATATATGTATATATATAACTTTTTGCATCATAAATTATTTTTTTAAAAGACCACCTTAATTTTTTCCATTTCTCCAAGCTTTTACATTAAAATAAATTTTTATACTAAAACTACTTATTTTTTATTTTTTCTTGCACATTATTATTCCACAACTAACTATCTTTATCTATAAGAGTTTTTCCTTTTAATTCTTCAAACACATCGTTATTTTATCCCATATAGTATTAGTTTCTTTCTGAACATCCCAAATCTTAAGATCATGAAGTATACTTACAAAAATAATTTTTATTTGTATATTTTAAGTGCTCTTATTTAATTCTATGATAATAATCTGTCATATTTTTCATCATACAATCCAAAATCAATAATGGATGTTGAGTAATTAAATTTTTACTTGGAATGACCTTAAAATCTTTAAAATTTTGACAA